TTAAGGACAAGAGGACAGGAAAGAGCAAGGGCTCTTGCAAACATGCAAACAAACACACCACAATCATAATCTGTTTCTTGTTGCTGTATATCATTAGAACTGTTTACATGAAAGGACCAGTCCCCTGGACTAGGCTGATTATCTGCCACAAGCAATGCACTCCACATCTTACAGACAGCTCTTTGGTGGGTGGGCTTGACAAAACTGCCAGCTGCACTCATATAGAAAAAGTGTTTTTTGCTCTTGATGAATTGAAGAGGAAAAAAGACAAGAATGATCAACATGAAATTCGGTCCCAATCTTTCTCTTTAACCATCTAATAGTTTTCATCATTTTCTTTCAATCTTTCTCTGTATTTCTTTGTCCATTCTTTAGAACTCATTTCAGCTCTAAGCAACTGCCAGTGCTGTGGTGATCATGGTCAGAGCCTACAATCCCAGAATCCTTTACTTTTTGTTCATGTATTAGTCATGAAATGTGCAACTCTTTTTTTGGCAATAAAAATGTTCTACTCACATCCACCTTTGACGTAAATTAACTTGAATTTTAAACTCAATAGTTACATTAATTTCTCTTTTAAGTGAGGAGAGTATAGTTTGTTACATTTCATTTATCTTCAGTGACAGTTAATTTTTCTTCATTACAGTGATGTCCCCCTCTGTGACAGTGATGTCCTCTCTGTGACAGTCATGTCCCCTCTGTGACAGTAATGTCCCCTCTGTGACAGTAATGTCCCCTCTGTGACAGAAAAGTCCCCTCTGTGACAGAAAAGTCCCCTCTGTGACAAAAGTTCTCCTCTGTGACATTTTTATCTTTTTAAAGTAATTCATAAATATTGGGCTGTGATCACCTCACTCTTTTCTAAATCTGACAAGAAGAATTTGTTTAACAATTAAGAGCTTCTTTAGTTGTTGATAATTTTGTTAATTCTCATGACCATTATGTGTGATATAGGAGAGTTACTGTAAGGAGAAATAAGATTTTAGTCACTCTTAAGGATTAGAGGGTTTAAGACCTAGCTTAGATTGTTACAGGGTCCAATAATGCTATCCCCTCGATAATCTCTATCTGGTAGATGATGTCCTATCTATTGGTATCACTTCTCCACTGGTTAGTGATTTATCCATTGGATAGCTTTATTTGTCCTTTATACAACTGGGCCCTAGTAAACTGTTGAACATCTAATGTACTTAACACAATAAGGGGAAATTCATCTCACTGGGCAAGGCCTTGATTCCCTTCAAGAATTAGGTTCACTTTACAACTAGTCTCATTTACATGTCCTCTTCTACTGATAATTTTTTTTGCTGAAATGTTACACCCTTACTGTTTTCCAGCAGATCCTTTTTCACCTGTTTGACTGCAAAAGTAAGTAACCACATCATTTTTATGTTATCACAAGAGGTCATGAGTAATATTTAACTGCCGTAACTGATAACAAAAACAGTAATAATGATGCAGTTGCTAATAATACATACAGTAGTTTTAAAAGCAAGTTGTTTAGCAATGTTACAGTTGTAATGATCAGTCGTAGAATTTTGAGATCAAATCTAGACTGAAAGAGATAACTGTAAGAATGTTGCAAGAGTAAAAATTGAACCACATCATAGGGTGATCTAGAGGCACAGAGTGTTTCTTGCAGATGCCACTAGTATAGTGAGGTGTTCCTTTAAGAGCAGAGAATGGAGAGTTCTTCACCTACTGCCCAGAATTGTCCCGTTAAATTTTGATAGCCCGAGATAATTTGTGATCCTCCACAGGACTCCCAGCATAATGGTGATGACACAGCCACACTATTTTAGCACGGTAGACAAAAGAAATTTTCATTAACACAGTAGCAGCATGTCAGGATGCACTCCTGATTAAAATTTTCTTCTCTTCTATATAAACAATGAACCGTGTTCAGGTTAAACAAAGAAGCGTGTTAAAGGGTGCGAAAACAAAAGGCATGTTACGCCGTGTCATATTGCACTCTGGTGTGCGAAATATCAGGCGTGTTAAATAATACCCATGTCAGATCAAAACATCTGTGAGAGATTGCATGTGCCAAAAATTATACTATCTCCATTAATTAAAGCAAAACCTGCATTTGTAAGTTATTTTCATCATTGAATCACTGATTCATGTTGTAAACTTCAACTGTTATCTTCAAATAAATCACAATGTCACACGAAACCTATTTTTCTTTTCTCAAAACGCAGAAATTTATAGCAAGATCGAGTTTAACCCATTGACGCTTCCATGTAACCTGATCTAATATGTGCCAACGAAAAGTCAAAATTTTGGAGAAACCAAACACAATGCGTAGTAAATTTTTAAAAATCATATTTTCCAAAAAACAAGTTCCAGTGAAAGAAGACCAATTAAAGAACTTATTTTCATCGAAAAAAAGCAATAGGTGCATATTTCATTTCCTCTCAAAAATCAAGATGAAAGATAAAAATCGCTAAATATTTTTGCATGTGTGCAAATGAGCCTGGGATCATATTTCAAACAGGAATATGCAAATTTGTCCGTGAGTGAAGAGATCTCAAGTTCCATGGAATCTATTAATAAGGAAGCAAGACTAAAATGGCAAAGAAATATTTCGGGACGACAGATTTATTCAAAACAGTATTTGATTTGCTGTTATAAGTGAAAAACATATGAATTTCTTACATGTACAAAGCCCATGCAGTAAAATTCATCATGCTTAATCATGCGTTGTTTACTTGCCTTCATGGCCAGAAATTGCGCAGCGTTACGCTGAAAATTCTGAAAAAAACTTAGATTTGAAGCAAAATCCTCTATTAAACAATACTTTTTGAACACATTGTTACTTGAACATAATATTTACCGGGCCATCGAATCGTCAAACTGTCGCTAGGCCCTGCTTGAAGTCTGTACGGTGAAAGCATTTGTGCTAGGAAGAACTTTTTACATAAAGCCGTCTTTTTCACTACCATTCTTTCAATGTGCAGAGCAACTTCTAAAACTAAAGGCTTTCTTGCTTAACCTCTTCGGTTGCATAACAACTCTTTCCGCGGTACTGTGCCATAATGTACGACTTTAACACGCTATGAAGCGTGTCATATAACACGCTGTTGAAAATAAAAGATTGAGCATGTTACGATGTGAGAAACAAAAGCTACCGTGACACTCTTTGTTTCCTTGTTAATAAATGGGAATTTGCGTGTCACATATCATGCTTAGCGTGGCGTGTCATCGCACGCATGCTCGTGTTATCACCATTATGCTGGAAATCCTGGAGGGTCACATTTTCATCTAGACAAGGAGAACATTCTCCCATTTTATTAACTCTGGCAAAATGAATCCATGAAGCCTGTAAAGGTTTTCTACAGTTTAACTAAATTCAAGTCATGCTTTGAGTTCCACTGCTGTAAAAACTGCCAGAAAATATTCATCTTGTCTCCACAGAAGTCCCTCCTTAAGAATTAATTTACTGGCTTAATCACTCCAGAAATTTCCCAAGAAATTATTCTCAACAGATTTGTGCAGGCAGTTCCAAGCAAGTAAAAACATAGGATCCCCAATAACACAGTATTTGCTTCATCACCCCTCCTTACAGTGCCTGCCGAGTAACATGGTACATTACCAAACAACTCTAACAGACATCTTCTGACATGATAGCACTTACGTCTTGATGATGTCATCTGATACTTTTAATCCTGCCATCTGCTCTACTGGTGCCTGTAACAAATTAAGGCAAGAATTTCATTGAAAAAAGACGACCCTAAAAAATTTCACCGACTAATCAAATTTAAAATTAAAATGCACCAGCCTACCTGAGGTCCTTTAGTCTGCTGAGGAGGAGAGAGGCATCTTTCTGACGGAGCTGAGGGTTGTGCAGGAGTTGGTGTTGCAAAGGGTTGAGACTGAGGAGTGTTCCCCCTTGTGCCACCTCTCCCATATGAAGCAGGAACAGATGATGCTGGGGCACCTCTACCGTATGATGTAGCCACCTGGGCACCTGCAGAAAATGAGAAAAAATTGCTAGTAAAGAAGATGTACAATAAGTTAGCACCACTGCTTGAAGATATATAGAGATTGCCAACCAGTCAAGCACCCATGTACCAAACATAATAATGCTATATTTACACATTTTGTGGGGTCCTGACTTCAACCTCAATGAATACTCAACTGTGATGCATTTAATTTCCTATCGAAGGAATTCCATCAAGAAAGAAACATGCATACCTCTTGAAAAACTGGTTTACAAGTGAATGTCTAAGTTTGAGTTGGCAGGAAGTTAAGAAGTAAAGATCTACAATTCTTATTACTACTAAAGTGCCTGAAAAGAACGTTAACTGATACCTCGTCCATATGATACTGCTTGCTGTTGACCCAAGGTTGTTGAAGCAGGCTGCTGACCATATGGGGGTGCTGGACCTCCATATGCTGGTCCTCCGTGTCCATACAACTGACCACGCCCTCCTAAAACAAGCAAAGATCTTTACTCAGTTCAGAGACATGATAACACATCTGATATACATGCAGTGGCAAATCTAGGGGAGGGACCTTACTTTGGGTAAAAAAAAAAAAAATGCAAGGAAGAAGCAGGAGCATGCACACACATGCCCACATACACATGCGCACACACAAAAACAGGTCTCCTCTTAGCTCAAGGTCTGAATTTATCACTGACATGCAACCATGTGATAAGCGCCTGTGAAGTTTCGGCAAGTGCACCAAAATTATATGCCCTATACAGTGTCAACTGGTCCACAAACACTATGCAAAAGATATTGAAGATTTCATGGAAAGATCAACATTCAACAAATTGATCACTCAGTTAAGCATTGAACCCTCAAAAGTGTTAAGCATCTAACTTCTACTGACAACATTCCCCCCTGAATCAAACACAGAGGTCACAAGAATAAAGGAAGTGATCAATAACTTGAGACATTCTTGATTGCCAGACCAAGTCCTTCCTGTAAGTAACATAAGTAATGTTAAGAGAATAGTGCAGAGAGCTTGCACACTACTGCTACCTGTAAAAATTCAAAAATAAGTCTTAGGGCAATCTAATTTTCTTGCTTGAGATTAAAAGAATATAGATTCAACTTTAACATGAGGAATGCTTTATATGGAAAGTAACCAAACCTGAGGCCCGTTGATATTGTTGAGGCATCTGTGACTGGTTTTGTTGTGGAATTTGATGGACATTTGACGGGTAACGTGGTTGCTGGTGATACTGTGGTCCTTGCTGATGTGATGGCTGTTGTTGTTGTTGTTGTGGATACATGTGTTGTTGCTGATAGGGTTGCTGGTGCCTGTAAGGTGGTTGTTCCTGCCAATAAGGTGGTGGTGGTGGTTGTTGTTGTTGATAAGGCAGTTGTTGGTAAGGTGGCTGCTGGTGCTGCTGATTAAAGCCTTGATGTTGGTAAGGTGGCTGCTGTCTGTAATATTGTGGTTGGTGGCCACCTTGTTGCTGCTGCTGCTGCTGATACTGGTGAGGGTATGGTTGTCGCTGGCCATAATGTGAAGGACCTGGTGGTGGAGGCCCTTGATGAGAGGGTTGTTGAGGATGTGGTGTCTGGCCATTCTATCAAGACAGAAATGAAAATCATTAACAGGTGCAACTGGATGAGCTGATTGCATCTTGTCCTTAACCTCACACTGTTATGGCAAAGGCACATTTGACCATTCTCTCCATGACATAATATAGCAGCAGTACAAATTGAAATACCCTCCAATCAAGAGAACTAAATCTTTCCAACTCAAAAGTGTAGACTTGACTTTGACCAGATTGAGTTAACAAAAAAGGAGAAAAAGGGAAAGCAGTAATGACCCATAACTTTCTTAATAATACTTGACTGATGTGACTGTCTTGCTGGAAACTACTCTACGTTTTTAGCTGTTGGCAGTACAGTTACTTGAGTCATTTTGTTCCAAGAACTGTTACACTTTCTACTATATATATCTTTTTAGACGTTTAGTTGTGTAGTATCGCAGAGTATTTTTACGAGTTGTGCCGTAATTTGATGAGCCCGTAGGGCGAGTCGAAATACAAACAACGAGTAAAAATACTCAGTGATACTACACAACTAAACATCTAATAAGTTATTTATTATCCAACACACCAAACTGTTACTTCAGTGCGGGCAAATTTCGGTGGATATTTACTTACGGGGAGTGCGTGACAGAAGTATGCAAAGTGGAACGGAGTTGGCGCGTTGCTGTTTCTATTTTCTTCATTAAATGAAGAAATTTTCTGGTCATCAAGCGGTTTTTCTTCGTTCGATTCATCTAATAAACTTTGACCTATATTTGCCAACCATTCTGACTCTTCGTTGTCGAAATATGATTCAACTTGTCCACCACTTTTTTTTTTTGTAACTACAATCCAATTCTTCGCTTGCACAATGCAAGAAAACCTGTTTAACCGGTACTCTACAATAGATGAGTACAAATACCGCATGATATTTGTACTCATCTATGGCGTTATTTGTACTCGTCTAAGTGTAGTTGGATAATAAATGCTATTATCATCATCTCTCTTAACTTTCCTCATTTATTTTTTCTCCACTGCATCAAAACTTGTAGAAAAGATTTTGCTAATAACTTACCCATCCATTTTGTCCTTGGCCTGGAGGTCGGGCTGGTTGTTCTAATGCCTGAAATACAAAGACTGTTGATAACATTCAAAACCACCAACCCTGACTAGAAGGGATAAAACAAACTTTGGAATATACATATATCCTTTAACTCTGACTTTGCTATTGCACACTAAGCTTGTGTTCATGAAATCAATGTTTAGGCCAAAAAGCAAATCCAACATGCATACATTCATAGTCATTGTAAGTAATACAATCGTGAGATATATGTGAGAACTAACATCAGTTTTCCAGGTCTTAGTTTTCCAGGTCTTAGTTTTCCAGGTCTTAGTTTTCCAGGTCTTAGTTTCCAGGTCTTCGGTTTCTAGGTCTTAGGTTTCTAGGTCTTAGGTTTTCCAGACAAGTCATTCAAATTGTCCTTGACGTGGTGAAATTTTACTAATTTGTAACATTCACAAGATATCTCTATCGAAAGGGAAGAGTGATTTCTTCTCAAAACGATCTGTGAACGTGTCCGAAGTTTCGGTGACGTCAGCCGTAACCGAATGACACCTTCTGTTATCCTCGATTCACTTGGCCAACCGAAATTCACTCACCAATACCGGTGCCGGTAAAAAGGGAACTACTGTGATCAATCAAACGATTACTCAAGAAATACTCCATTGGTCTAATGAAAAACAATAACACTCAAACCACAAACAAACCCACTGTCCCAGCTGAGAATGCTCAATCATATCTCATACGTGACCTTTTGACGAGGTTCAGCGTCGACGTGCGCTTTCTCAATTCGAAATTAAAAACTGTTGTTTATTCTCTCGTAAATGGCCAGGAAATACATTTTAAAGCTTGCGGCGGTAAAACTACAGGTATTTTCTTCAAAATAATTTTTTAAATGGTACAGCACAAGGCAAAGTCTTGTTTAGACTGAATGTTTTCAAAAATTTGGGTAATAAAAGATCCAATTGTGTAAAAGTTTTGTTAGTTTGCTTACCTGTAACAGCGCCGCGCCTCGCCCTCCACGGCCTGCCATGTCGTTTCAGGAGACACTTAAACCCTAAAATTTGTTAAAATGTTAAAAATACTTAAAAAGTTACGAAAATCTCCAAGCGTACGTGCGTTGCGCTAACTTGTTATCACAACCTCGTGCTAAAGGCAACTAAATACTGAAGTGGGAATGATAAACTGGCGGCAACATACCATAATAGTCCGACGCTTAATTTAACCAATCAGAAGCCTGAATTGTTATTCGATAAAGGATCGTAAAACTACGTAAATAGATCGACTACGTTCGATATATGCCGAGAACTTTCGTTCAGCTGTTGTCATACGAGCATGGAGAAAGAAGATTGCGAAGCGATGTCCTCCAAAGGACGCGAAACTCCAAGGCTAAACATGGAACACGGTTTTATGCAATCTATAATAAGAAATCAAGTAGACAGAGATGAGTACGACAAAGAACAGAAGCTTTTAAAGTTGCAAAACAAGCCGAGCGGGTCATCTCGAAGAGAAAGGCCGAAAAGAGCGGATATGCAAGTTTACGTTCCTCCACATTTGAGACAGAAAGGCTCACAGAAAGAGAAAGAACAGGGAACTGCGCATGCTAGTAAGCTCACATCAACTTCTCCAAGTGGTGAGCTTTGGCCTCTGTTTTATTCTCTCTTTTGTGTTTGTATCATCCACTAAATTTCAAATGGGGAATGGTTGAATCGTGGCGAGAATAGTAACTGCAAACTGATGTCTTAGCACATAGCATCAACGTCGTTTGCTATATATTTAGAGCTGAACAAGAGCTACCTTAACTAACCTTTTTGACAGCACTCTCTTGATAAAAGTACCCAATCCCTGTGAATTATGTTTGCTCATAAACTGATCAACTAAATGAAGCCTTTTAATTTAAGCCTGCAGTTGAGATAGTTGTTGACACATGTTGACCTGTCTTGTTCGCGAGAGTTCGCTTGGTTATATTTATCGTTCCCGAATTGTTTGAAGCTAACTTCAAGTACAAACCTTTCATAAATTTTTTCAAAACTTGCGCATACTTTGAGAATGCTAAGATATAAGAAGATTGCAGAATAAAGCCAAGTCTCCGAGGCTCAGTTGCCCGTGCTTACCCCTGGTTTTACAGCGTGACGTTTCTACCCCTTTAAGGGATGTTAGGCTACTACATGTAACCCCCTCTCCAACTATTATTTCAGCTTTACTTGACATTTTTCTGGTAGTCATTTCCCATTTCAAAAACGAGTGGGGGAGTGGGTCAAGTTCACCGCTCAAGTTTGTCTGGGATCGTTACTGGCGACACAAATCATTATTTACTATAGATTTGTGTCCCAAGTAACGATCCCAGATAAACTTGCGCGGTGAACTTGACCCACTCCCCCACTTGTTTTTGAAATGGAGAATTAGAACAGGCCCTTTACACCTTAACATTAGCATGCATACTCCCCATAGTGTTCTCTTTAAATTTCCTAAGGTGCCTACAACGAGAGTTTGTTTAATAATCAAAGGCTTCTGTTGATTAATAATTATCTCCTTTATTTTTGTGGCTTTAATACTTGATTCAGGAGTGACTTTGTAAGAAGAAGTAAGATTCTAGTCACTCTATTTATCTGTTGAATGCTGACTGGTAGGATAGTATTATCTGCCCTTTGAATAACTGGGCCCAGAACATAGAGATTTCCTTGGCTATGGAGTTTGCTGTCCAGGGCTTAAATCATGATAATCCAATCTGGAGTCCAACAGGCTGTCAGAGGGGGCTGAATAGGCTAACGGATCGGCGGATTCTGAGAATTATTTTTCCCGGATTTCGGACTTAGAGTAAAATTTTAATGGATTTGCGGATCCTGAAATTGCAACGGTTCGCGGTTTCGTTGATTTTTAGGTTCAGATTTTGGATTTTGCTTGTGAGGAAGTTCGGATCATGGATCTGAACGATTGTCAGAAATGCATTGTTTTCTGAGTATGTGTATTTTTTTGTTACGGACGAGACTCTCTGCATGTCACGCATCAGGGAAATAGTAACGCACTGGGACGTCTGCTGTGTTCGCGCTCTTATCCATGACACTGTACCCCACTGATTGCGATTTGCTCGATGGGAAAGCCATTGCATAGCTAACACACAACAGCTCAAGGTGCGTTTTCCACCTTTTTACGAGACAAGTAGTGAATGGATTCGGATTTAACAATTTTTTTTAACAGACTGACGGATTAGGTTATCAAATTGTAGCAGATCGGCAGATTTGCATACCCCTATTCACCCCCCTCCTGTATGAGGTGATGTTCCCCCCTTGCAGGTCTTCCCCCAAGCTCCATAGCCCTCTATGAAGTTCTGTCACCCCAAAGTATTGGGAACACAATAACCATTGATTATGTCCCTGTGACTCCCATTATTTTGCGTTATTCAACATGCATGCATGTATTTGCATAGCAGCTTCAACAACAGAGGACTGGGAAACAGAGGAAAAACCTGCCTCGATCCAGATGAAGCTTGAATTTGTTAGACAGGATGGGAAAGTATGCAAATTAGACATATGTGAGGTAAGTACTATAGTTTTACAGTGCCACATAGCATGAACATTTGTTTGGTTTTTAATTTGTGCTTATTTTGCAGTTTTACCATGATGTGCCAAATACATTCCCTCAGGAAAAAAAAAAATCCTACCAGTAGAAAGTTATATGGTGCTAAATTGACCACCTGTAGTCAACTGAAAGAGCTCTCCATGTATTTCTAGTGTTGAGTCGTATTCTTTAAATTCGGACACACACAAAACATCTATTGACCAGCCATCTACATGTATCTTGTGGATTTCATGATGTGTAGATATTTTTTGGAGTGTGATTGTTGTTCAAGTCTAGAGGTAGGGATTGTGGATGAGAAAGTGAGGGCAGGTCTGAATAAAAAATATAAAGGACATTGAATTTCAGCCACAAAATTCTGCTTAGGAGTAAGAGAATATCTGATCTTCAATATCTAATGAACATCCAGTGCAGCTAAGCATGTTCCTGACTGATTTTACCTTTCATTTTTCTTTCAGGGAGAAGATCTGAAGAAAGTGGTGGGCAGTTTTGGCTGCGCCAATGGCCTAGATGCCCGACTGAGAGATGCCCTGTATCATCGTGTTTCCACAGCTTTGAAGGAGAGAGCAGTGTAATGGCAGTTACACCTCTAAAGTAATCAATTCATATTGAATAAACTTCCTGATACTTTACGTTAATACATACTTTGAAGTTCATAAACTTTCTGACAAAGTCAGCTTGTTTGATTATATGATATGCAGAAGCTCAACACATGAATATACTTAATCTTTGTTGTATAGTCTCCATATGACACATTAAGTTTAGACTTTATCAATAGGGTTTTTTTTTCTAATAGCTTTCTCCAAGTTTTAGGGGGGTGGGTTGGAAGAAGTTAAAACAGTTGCAAACCTTGGAGGCAGTCAGAAGTTTTTATCACTCTTGATGATTTGAGTTGAGTATTTGATGAGGCTTTTTAAAATAAATGGCAAGATACCTTTATAGGGTTTTAGAAACATTTCTCAAAAACGTGTTCACCTACTCACTCTTGTCTTAACACACCTATTGCTCAGTGAGAGCTTGTGTATTATCTCGAATAATCTATGAATGTAATTGGAATAAGTTGTGTTGAGGAAATTTTATAAAATTGTCGTCTTTTGAAAGTATTTATATGTAAATATGCAGATAAGATTATGACTTGGAGGTTTGATGAATTATGCTTGTGTTGTACAGAGTTATATTTTTATAATATATTATATCAAATAAATGATGTTTCTATTAAAGGTTTTATTGTTGCATCGTTTGATTATCTTGGTTTTTTTTTCTCACTCATGCTTGTAAGCCTGCAAAGACAGTTTGATCAATATACAAAACAACCCAGAATATATAACTGAAAGGAGAAGGTTGAAATAAGATCACCAAGAACCTTAACAAAATATAAAATTCCAAAAAATTGTCTGGTGTACAACTGCTGCCTGACTTACAGTAATCTGGAGATGTGTTTAATTTGGGATCATGCCCCTTAGCACCCTCTCCCAAGTCCGTCAACTAGCTCTATAAACTGGTGTTTGCTAAAATGGACGAACCTGACTGAAACTCAAAAATAACCATCTGTAATATTTCACTAAAATACAACTGCCCTTGGATGAAAACAGCTGATCACTCCTTTTAGTGGAGATAAAAATATTATCAATTTGAGTTCCCTTCTTGTGGTTACCATTACAACCTAATGTAGAGTTTGGGAAGCTGTACGTAAGGGGAGGGGGGGGGAATTTCATTGTTTCTGCAAGATTGTCTGATAACCTTGGAGTGCTGGTATTTTTAACAATTATTCTATGAGCGTGTGTTGGATATGAGTTGGCTATAATCATCTCATATCCAACAAGCGCAAGTGGAATAATTGTTTTATTAAAAGCATTGAATTAAATTATTAAATTTTATTTAATTTTCAGTTCCCTTTTAATTTTAAGCTGACACCTACCCTTACCATATTTATGGTATATTGGCTGATATATCATTATGGCTAAGCCAATAAAAAGTCCTGAATTGCATTATCCAATGATCTAGGGTTTAATAAGCAGTGTTATGTCCTCATCAATGTTACAAAGAAAGAAATGAGCCAGTACCCACGTTCGACCAGATGTGCTCTGTAAAGCCATGCAATAAAACAGTTTCCTCTTTGACATCTCTTTACCACAAAATTTTAGAACCTTTCAATGAATGATTTAGCTCTTTTTATTGCATGTATTGAAATGGAATTACAGATGAGTATAACAAACTCAAGTCTCACCAATAGTAGGTGCCATAAAAAAAAAGACTACTCATTAAAAGTTTCTATTCCATAAAAATACAACCTATGTACAATGCGCTTATAACTGAACAACAAGAAAAGGCTCTTTTTGAGGCTAAATGTGAAAATAAACAGAGTATTGCCACACCATTCTGGCTCTTTTAGGAGAACACTATAGAGACCAAAAGGAAGCTTAATGGTAAGTCTGGATTTGCCAGTTAACTTTATTTGGACTTTTCATCAGTTGTATTGAACTGAGTTGGTTTCCCTCAGCTGAAAAGTGTCTTGAAATTTCATAGCCACAGCAGTAAAGTTGTAACTTTTATTTCAGGTTCACACTCATGGGACCTAATCCCTTTCCACTTTTTTCTTCTCTTTCTGACTAAACAGTATCCATCGCTGCTTTATCCTTTTGTAACTCATAAATCTGTGCGACAGAGAGACAAAGTAAGATTTCAATTTTTCTTTGACAGATGAACAAAGAAATTTACAATAACAATCGAGAGCCCTAATTTAGATTACCCAAATGAGATCACGAAAATCTTGGTTATGCAAATTTAGCTGTGAGAGACTCAAACCCCAACTGTTTAGTGCTTTGAATAGATTGTTGCATTTTGTTCTGTGGCAATCCACTTTCCTTGTGCAATGCCTGTTTTAACCCAGAGTATGGATGAGTACCTGCAAACCGTCAAGAAAGCTTGACAGAATGCTTGGAGGGGGATTGGGTTTGTGGGAGGGATTCCTTGTGGTGGACTACAATATCCTTACTTGGAGTAGCAATACACCAATTTGCTTCATGCTGATAGAAACCAAGATAAAACCCAGCCATTAGGGACCACTGAGATGGTAACAAGCATCTAAAGAAGTTCTGCCATCAAAATGGATGGAAATTAAACCATCATGAGAACATTTGTCTTAGTGGACTCAACAAAGGTGGACTGCACTTAAATTTTAAAGGTAATGAGCAGTTTTATAATAATTTTAAATTGCACCTAGAATGAGATCATGTGCTGTCCATCAATGCCGTGTGGGATCAATTAAGCAACCAAAAGGCTGAAAAATCTGTCTCAATATTGCCTCCTTTGTGCGGTTTTAGAATGGCATCACTCGCACGCACCTCACATATGCGGGAAGCAACCTTGAGAACGTTCATTTTTGTCTAAATGAAGACCTAGAAAACGTCTTCCACTGGCTACAAGTGAACAAACTCATGTTGAACATGACTAAAACCGAATTGATGCTAATAGGGCCGAGGCAGAGACTGAATACTCTCACAGCTTCACCAACAATTAGAATGAATACTCAAGTGAGCCGGGTTACAGCTACAAAATCGCTTGGTGTAATAATAGACGATAAACTCAATTGGCATAGTCACATCGAAAAACTAACGAAAAAGATCGCCTCTAGTATCGGGGCCCTAAAGCGAATTAGGCACCTGATCCCAGCATCAACCTTAAATCTCATTTACCAAGCTTTAGTAAAACCTCACTTTGAGTACTGTGACATTGTTTGGGGTAGCTGTGGGAAAACCCTACAAGACAAACTGCAGAAATTGCAGAACAGAGCAGCCCGTGTGTTGACATTCTCTAACTACGATGCTGATGCAACTGAGCTACTCGAGTTTTTAGGGTGGAAAAATCTTGCACGCCAGCAGGAAATCCATAAAGCCACCATAATGTTTAGATGTCTGCACGGGCTAGCTCCAAGGTATCTTTATTCAAAGTTTACGTGGCGTGACTCTGCTTATGACCTCAGGGATTCTGAAAATAAGCTTAATGTTCCAATACTGTGCACTAATTATTACAGAAAAAGCTTTAGCTACAATGACGCCACATTACGGAACAGTCTACCACGCGATATAAGGAACACAGAGTCTCTGGGGTTATTTAAACGTAAGATCAATGACATTCTTTAAGTCTAACGCACGGCTTTCACGGAAAACAGCTTTAGCGTTATAGTATGTAGTTTTAATTTTAAATATCTTAGCGTATGTGATATGTATTTTTATAGGCTGATGAATTGATCGTGTTTAAATAAAGATTAAATAAAATAAATAATCAAAAATAAATAAAAACCCCTGAATCAATCAAATGCAGTGTTCTATTTCTTCAACAACATTTTTTCACCAAAATCTGTGTAGGGTACACAGCTTATTTGACAGGGTTTACCAGTCTTAGAAGGACTTTTGAATTCTGATTTCAATATTGAAAATTCCGAAATAAGTGTCCCGAATTCTTCCAAGTTCAAAAATAACAAAACTGATTAAAGTTATTTATGCTACATACCTGTATATATGAATCAGAGAGAGTTATCACTGGAGGCAAAATCTCTTTAACATGAAGATCTTGAAGCTCAAACCACTTGTTTGCACCCTAAACATACATATCAGACAAAATAAACCTCAGTAATATTGTCACTCCTTTACACATAACAATACTTATTACACAAAGGACAAGAACACAGAATTTTACTTTGTGTAGGATGTGAACTTTGAAAGTTCCAGCTCCTGTGAAAAGAAGCAACATGACATTACTGTACATGAAAGGTGTCTACAGAATGTTTACATTAATTCTTTGTTAACATTTGTAAGCTCCTTTGCCACAAGAAAAGGCCTCAGGTGTTTCAAACACTTTGTAAATGAATGCAAGCAACCTCTCTTTATAATAAAGCAAAGATTTTTCTGCTTCCTGCACCCCCCCCATCTCTTCTCCAACAACTCCTCTTTTGCAGTAAAGCTACCAACAACAGTTTTATTTTGACTATTTTGACAACTGCATGGTTTACTAACCCAAAAATACAATGTATTTAATAAACCAATAGACTTAGGTTGAGTATCAAGGCCCAGACACAAGCAGATGCAAAATTGTGTAGTTCTAAACAACTCAGAGTCTTTGAAGGAACTTTGTCACAGAATGGTCTGCAAAGCTTGTACCTGATTCAACAAAAATAAGTCCTGCCCTTGTTTTGGGCACAGTACACTAAACTTGGTTTATCAATTTGCAATCTGATACAGACTTGACATCTTTCACATCTTATAAATCTATAAAACAGTTTAAGTGGTTGGTGGGAAAAGAAGGGGGCAATAATCTACCTTTGCTTGGCTCTCCTTCATGACAAACATTTGCAATCAGATCATATTGAGTATGGGGATGAGCATCTTGTACACTTGGGTCTGAAACTAGGAACTCTGCCATGTCCACCCCCCTGAAAATATGTTTACAAGTAATGATGATTTAATCTGCTATTATGATGCTAAACGCACAGGAAAGGGGTAGGGATGAATACTAACGCAAAAATATAAAGGTAAGCACAAGGATAATTTAAGGTTCAAGGGTAGTTTGTTAATTAAGTAGGAAGCTGCATACAATGAGCTTATCGGAAATATTTTATTTAACACCTGGCTCCTTGAGTGAGGTCACTCGTTGGAAACATGGTGCTTACTTCTTTATTGAAAAACAGTGGAATATGCCAAAAGCTTTGATGTTTATTTTGAAAAGAATTGAGCAGAATGGAAAACAGACTTGTTATCCCTGGATCCTTCGTAGCTAGAATGACCAGGCCAGTTGCAAAATTTTGAAACAAGATTATTTAATTGAAGGAACTGTGCACTCCTATGGACATAATAGTGAAGAGATTGGGACAAAAGACTGTTGATTTTGTGTTATGAGGCTTTAAACATGTACTCTAACAGTGCTGCCACTGAATTAGAAAGGGATGTTTATTGGAATGAGAATGCGTACCCAATAGGGGTACTTATTACAATAGGGGGGGCTTATTGACAAAAACAAATTCTACAGGGGGTGCTTATTAGAGAGGGGGCACATATTGGATGGAGGGCATTCTGTCTTTGTCACTCATGGGAGCTAAAGGATTAACATAAATATCAGAGATTATCAAATTGTCATATTACAACTTACTTGACTGGAAAGTTCACAACAGTGGGATTCTTCTCCACAAAGAACATGTTCTTTGTAAATCTCTACATAACAGAAGTAGAGATTATGCTGTCACAATAATATTTAAATTTCAAACATGTATTAAAACAAGACCCAGAAAAATCAAACTTTGAAGAATTCTCCCTCGCACTTCTGTATAATTCATGCATCCCAAATCAGTTTTGCCTTCCTAGTTTGTTTGTTTTTTTTTTAAAAGGAAAAAAATAAATTTGATTGTTTACAAATAAGACATACCTTAACACACATGATCAGATAGGTTGGTAACTTTGTGAGTTCAAACTTCTTGACAAATGTTTCCTTGTATGTTTTATATTCCTATTAAATAAAAGCATAATGTGAATGTCTTTTAACATTTTAACATCCGGATGCAGAAAAAATATAATGCCTAAATACCTTTTCTGATTTGCCATCAAATTTACTTAAAAGCTGGAACAATGGCACCTGATAGAAGAGAAAAAAAAAGGTTAAGTCCAAGTAAACCAGTAGTTCCATCAACTTTAAAGAATCACAATAGAAAATTTAGGCCTCTTATAATCATGGATGGGCTTCCTTCTACACAAATGTAAGTTTTTCGTAAAAATGGTTATTTTGCAAGTAAATGGCAAATATTGACACAACAATGAGATTTTTAAGTAACTACTGTTACTTAATTTGTTATTTAAACCATCTTTACATGACAATTCCTTGTCAACAAATTTAGAAACTACATAGTCCAAGTTTTGAAAATTGCATATATCTTAAGTTTGTAAACTTTTGATTTGTAGATTGTTATTTTGGAGCTCTTGGAAATGGGGAAAGGAAAACATTTTAACCACAATGTTTTAGATGTTATAAAATTTTGTTCATTTATGTTTGTTTGTTGACCGGCAGATACAGACATGAACAGGAACAGCTGGACTAACACAATGAGCAAACTTTACTCAGGCTGTCAGCCATGCTTTCTACACCAAACACACAGACGCTTCTTTGCATGCACAACACTGCTGACCAATTACAGGCGCTTCTTTGCATGCACAACACTGCTGACCAATTACAGCAGTCCCACCAACAGTTCATACCCCAAAGCTAATAGATTCAAGCAAAGATCATATGTTCTCAATAGTTGGATTAATGCCATTATCTAAGCACTGCACATCCCCATTCCCTTAACATAACAACAGTCAACTGATAACAAGGTTTGGGGAGGGGTAGGTGTGCAGTTCCAACTGATAACAAGCTTAGGGGAGGGGTGGGGGTGCAGTTACTCAGATACTGACATTGATCTTATTATTTCATCTTAACCCTTTAACTCCTAGAAGTGATAAACATATAACTTCTCCTTATAACCCAACAAACAGGTAATGAGAAAACTCAAACTTATCAGGCAGAAATTATCTTGATTTAATACCAAATTCTCATAACTAATTTAAAAGGAAATGTCTAGCAGCTAGAGGGGAGAATTAACAATCAGATCTTCAGGGTTCAAGGGTAAAAAAAAAAAAAATTTCAACTTCTGACTAGCCAACTTTGAGCCAAGTACATTTAGCAAGTAAAATCTGGAGTACTAACCTGTGGAATGATGTTCTGCTGATATTCATCCTAAAGAGAACACATTTGAATTAGCAGACAGCACTTTAAATGACAGTGCTTCTTTCTTGACAGTCATGGATACCCTTAAATGTTTTTTATCAAATTATTGAAGACTGACTGAATACTTTAATATATTGTTTCCTTACAAATGTCTTTATCAAATAACAGGAAAGCATAGCATTGCACATTGTGATAAAAACAGTATAATACCTTGTAAAGTGGTGATGGCGGAATATCCAACATCAAGTACATGTAGGGTGAATCAGTTGTTTTTTCTGCACAAAAACAAAATAAAAAGATCAAATTCAAGCAGGGAATTTTCTGTTTTTCTCACAATTTTATAAGAACATTCTTAGATATAGATTTTGTGATAAAAACTAGTGATAAAAAAGAACAACATTTTGAACTCTCCAGGGTCATTTTCAAGTTCTAGAAAAATATAAATTATTGGTACAGAACTACTAACAAAAGTTTCAAAAATTAAAGAAAATGTAACAAGCATTTAAGATGTGTTATAAATTACACAATTACAAACAATTAAAACCAATTTAAGGATTTGAGTTCAAAAGAGTCTAAAATAATAACTTTAAGTAAATTAAATTATCTAAACCTATCACTCCAATATAACATGCATCACACGGGTCACACTAAAAAAATAAACAACACATTGTTGGCTCACAAGGGGCAGCTTATCTTCCTTGATTCTCAATTCCATTCTTGATCTTTCAACTTGTTTTATTTCTGGGAAGAAAGCTTTAAAGTTGACTGCATCCTCTCTGACCGAAAATAAAAGTTCAACTGCTTACCTTTATATTCTTCTTCATCCACAACCTTCTTAATTTCTTCCTCATTCTTTGACAGATATGGAAATTTAAGCAAAAAACCCAATTATGCTAGACATGAAATTCAAGAATAATTTTATCATAAACTTGTTAATAATAACTATTCTACAAAGTGAAGGTAGCTATTAGTGGATATTTACTGACCCACAAAGCAGTGAGGTATTTATCCACTGCTAACCACCTACGCTGACAATTTCAGGTGCAAATCCTATGCACATTGCTCAGAGGTGAATAGCAAAGGATATTCAGAGTTTGAGTAGCCAATTAGAGTGCACCGTCAATGCTATCCACTGTGTAATATCGAAAGGACTCTTTAAAATTTGTAACTAAGAATACTAAGGGTAATGTTGTTTCTTTTCATACCTCAGTCTGGGGAAGTTTTCGAGATGTCACCTTCATCTTGCCTCGAAAAGTTTTGTAAATAACACCTAATGTTGGAGTAAAAGGAACTATATAAGATAAATCTCACTAGTGTAAAGGAAAGAGATGTTTGGCAATTTTGAATTAAGTAGACCAGAAATATTCTTAGCAATGTTGTGTTGAACAAAAGTTTGTCTGGAAACACATGATGTTTGGGGCATGGGTTTGACTTCCCATTTTACCACTGCCATCATGATGGAAGTTCTTTTATGGATTTTGTTTCCATTCATTGACATCATAGAGCAGTGTTCAATTGAGAATCAAAAGGGATCCTGGATTGCTTTGGTTTTACTTCATTTCACTCTGTGATTGGTCCAGAACATGTGCCCCATCCATTCAAATGCAATAGTAAAACAAATCTCAACTTAATCACTTGCATTTCCCTGTGATTCAAGCAGGTTTTCTGTTTTTACTTAAATAAGTTTTAAAGATCTTAGGAGACTTTTAAATTCTGAATTATCAGCAAAATGACATTATTTTATTCAAGGAAGTTTAAGGGGCAATGTTCCACAAACACTCCCAGGTCAACTTACTGCTTGTTGCCTTCTTTGTTCCACCAAGAGTTGTATGCAGAGAGTTAAGAAACCATGATAAAAACTCCACTGGATCACCTGATAAACCAAACTAAATTATTACAGTACTGACATTGAAGGAATTATTGACTGAATTTGCAAGCATCAAACAAGTTCCCTGGTGAGTTCTTTTCTTCTGAGAATTCAATCATTTACTGTAATTATAATATCATTCAATCAAGCATATAAACTCAACAACTAGTAACAAGGTTTTTAACATGCCCGCCACCTCGTAAGTTCAACAACACAACGCGCATGGCTTCCCAATTTCGGGGTGCCTGTGCAAGTCACTCAGGGGTACCTGAAAACTTTTTAATATTTAAAACCTTTTAAGGTTTCAATATTACAACATTTACCACACATTTTTTGTTGGCTGACTACACCACTTTTACATGCACCGGCAAGAAGGTTAAGGAAAACAATTTAAGGAGATGGCTAAAGACACAGGAAATTACCAAATTTACCTTGTTCAGTAAACTGGAATCTCTTTTTGCTACAAAGCACCACAGCCTTAAAAAAGAATTCATTAAGTACTCCTTAGTCACAGTAAAGAAAGAGAAACTGTTTGAATCTTTTTTTTTTAACTCTTCACACCCTAACATCAGTATGCAAATTCTCCATACTGTTCTCTATACATTTCCTAATAGGCTGACAAGGAGAATTTGTTAAACAATCAAGAGCCTCTTAGGTTAGTGATCATTCCTTCTATTCTCATGACCTTACTCTTTGATTCAGGGGTGATACTGTTTGGAGAAACTAGATGCTAATTACTCTTAGGCATTTAAGGATTTAAAGGTTGTGGTATTAGCCTTTATACATGAAAGACTTTCCTACTCAAATGTTACCGACCCATTTAAAAAGACCATTTTCACTACTGCTTAAATAAGTAGTGTTCATTACTGCGAAGATTGCTCTCAAACTCACTTCTTCAACCTCAGTTCACATTATATGATTTTCATATATTCACAAACGTTGACTCATCACCTCAAGGGTTTATTATAAATGAACATACGGTAATGACCACCTCCCAGTTGGCTTGTTAGTTCAGTTGGTAGAGCACTGCACTGGTATTGCAGAGGTCATGGGTTCAAATCCCGTACGGGCCTGAACATTTTTCAAGTCTTATCTTCACTACTGCTTATTAAGTAGTGTTGATTACTGCGAAGATCACTCTCATACTCATTTCTTTAACTGCAGTTCAAATATATGATTTCCTATATTCACAAATGTTTAAAAAAAAACAGTTATGCAATGTTTTTCACGAGTTTCCAACAGGTTGTTATTGAGATTAGTTTTCAATTGAGTGTTGTAAGTAAGCCATGGTTACTTTGGTTGTGCTTGACTTTGCTCTGTGATTGATCCAGAAACTCAACCAATCAGAATCAAAACTAAAACAAATTGAGATTTGGTCCCTCACATTTTCCCACATTTAACAAAATTAGACTGTTTTTACTTTGAGATCTTGCATGATGATGTCCACCTTTGCTCCAATTCACAGTTGTAATTGGGTCCAATTGGTTTAATTTTTTTTTTTGAAACTCGATCTGAGACTGCTTATCCATAATCTTTGCAGATTCGCTGTGTTGAGCATAATAATTAACAAGGAGAGGTTGATTTTTTTTCTGGGTTCGAATCAACAATCAGAAAATTAATGTAGATCATTACTGACAACAGTGGGTAATTGAAATATACAAGAACAAGCTTTACTGAGGAAAGTTCTGATGAAAATATAGAGTAGTACACCTACCTGCAACATCTCATGAGGGCTGACATGGGCTTTAAAGTTACGTGGATTCCAAATTTTTCTTATTAGCTCTCCAAACCTGTTTACTATTAATAACAAAAGTGCAAAACAGGAAATAATACAATTTCAAGAGTTTCTAGACCAGAAAAGTCAATGACCATACAAATTAATAAATTCGACAAATGCTAGTTAATTAAAAACACTTGACATGTAGTAAAGAATGGTAACAGGGGTAAAGAGATGAACAACAAACTTATTGACATATGACTTTGATACCCATACTTAATTCAGAAAACAATTGATGAGAATACTCAAACTAATGGTAAGTAAAAGTTATCTTAATCCTTATAAAATTCTCATTGCTAATTTTCAAGGAAATGTGTAACAGCCAGAGGGGAGAATTAGCAAACAGATCTCAGGAGTTCAGGATTAAACATTTACTAAATAAATAGAGGTACTAACAAGTGTTTCATTTGAATATGTAAAACTACTCTCCCAGTAGGTTCATACTACTTACAGAGAAAAATGTTATATGCAAAGACTCGAAATCATTTGTGGAGCATGACCTGTAACGTTTCTCTATCAGATTGGAATTGGACCATGCACCCAAGTGAACAATGCTCTTGCTACTTCTTGCATTGATTTCAGTTCTTACCTAGGGGAAACATGATATCTCCAGGAGGACGCTTGATGCTTTGATAGTTTTCTTCTCGAAGGAAAAAATCCCGAATTGGTGGAACAAATGCCAATGCCTGAAGATTGAAATAAGGACATTACTGGTTATAAGACTCAGTAAGATCAGTCATAATTAATCCATCAATAATATAAAAGTAAGATTGTCCTGTTCAGTTAACAGCATACAAGCGGGTAATGTGGTATTTAATAAGATGTTAGGCTGATGACATCACAGACAAATCGACCAATCAATGCATGAACCAGACTTGTAACATTGAACTGGCACACAAGAAAATCAACCTCACCCAGACAATTAGGATGTAAAACACATTAAGCTAAATTATTGTGTTTTTTGTTGTTGTCCTCTTTTGTTAAAGTTTTTCCTCCATTTCAAATTTCAAAAATTTCAAATTTTAACCCTTTTAATGATCACAAAAAAGAGAGAACCTGGAGAAGGACAGTGTAGTTCAGCTAATTAGATGCCTTAAGCTTAATAATAAGTCAAATTACATTTTTCCATGCATTAAAATGAAACAAAACAAATTAAAGGAAGGAAATTAGGAATTAAGTTATAAACAAAAGATGATAGATAACACAAGATCAAGGAAAGACTCACAGTAATTAATATTAAGAAGAATAATTGATGAAAAATGCTCTTTTAAAAAGTTTTCTAGTAAGTGATGTGTCAATAATGTCTGTGAAAATCCTGATTATTAGAAACTTCTTCTTACAGTATCACTATTTTAATAAAGATTTTTAATAGAATTCATATTTAAAATACTAATTCTATCAAACTGGAGATAGGAATTGACAAACTTATTTTGACAAGATACTAAATTCTCTTTATTTATGAGTAAAGAAATGTTTGGCAGCCAGTAGGGAGAATTCTGAATCAGATCATGGGAGGTGAAGAGTTAGGAGCTATCATACTCCACACCTGTAATACTACATTCAGGTAATCATTTGCTTTGATGTTATTCAATCCAACAATTCCTGTAAAAGAATAAAACATAAAAAGCCTAATAAACAAGACAAATAAATAGAGGATAAGTTTGTAAAGAAACTGTAGTGATATTAGAGCTAAATTTGGTTTTATCAACTAAGTCAATGATGTGAATTAGCCACTGTACAGAGCCTCTAAAGCTGATCAAGTGTTAGCCCTGTGTCAGAAGAAATAGATGAATAATGGGTTGTATGTCCTTAGCATGCAGAAAAATTTAGCTCCTCATCATTCGTGGGAACATGACAACATTAAGAACAAGAATGAATTAGTTATTTGAAAAATGTTTGTTTGTAAAATGGGGATCAAGGGAGCCGATTTAAAAGTTAAATTTTTGTAATTAAATAGAGTTTTACTACAAACCAAACAGCCTAGATGTAGGAAAAGCTACAGAGAGCCATATGTAGCATATGAATAAAGGCTGATAGTTTCTAAAGAAACTGTTTGGGGCTGCGTCGGTGGGGGTAACGAAATAATTTGGATATATCAACAAAGTTGAAATGGCAAATTGGCCACCGTAATGATTACAAAAGCTGACATTTCGAGCTCTAGCCCTTCATCGGAGCGAAGGGCTAACGCTCGAAATGTCAGCTTTTGTAATCATTACAGTGGCCAATTTACCATTTCAACTTTGTTGATATATCCATACGTAGCATAGAATGATTTTGAGAGATTTAAATAAGTGTCTGGCAGTGTCTAAACAAGTTATTTTGATCTCTCCTTGACAAAAATGAGACAGATCACAATAAGCACAGTTATGATGTTATTTTTCTAGCACAGCAAAATACCATGATACCAAATTTAAAAAAAAAAGGGGGGGGGGCTTTACTATTCCTTGAATCTAATAAAATACTAAGATTTACCAGGTAGATAAGTAGTGCCATCAAACGCCCTGGACAGCTTTGCTGATTTATCCAACAGCGTAATGTCATTTTTGGTGAACGTTGGGTTTAAGACATACTAAAAAGAAACAGTTATCTATTTAGTTTCTTTCCATATCTTACAGTATTGTTGCCACAATTTATACTTTAAAATGATCTGAGAAGATCAAGTCAGGAATGCCGTATCACTGTTACCTTCAGTTAGCATTTTCATTGAACATATGAAAAAGGCTTCTCAAATAATTTGTTTGAGACAGTGATTAACCTGCAAAAAGTAATTATCCTTGTGCAACAACTTCAGTTTTTCCCATCAAATGTTATATTTGTGATAATTTCAATCTTCAATATTGAATAGACAAATACAACCATTAGGTTATGAATACTTTTATGTACATTTGATTACAATTTCAATAAAAAAAAAGGTATAATAGAAATTACATTTGTGCAAACATTTTTTTTGACACTACAAGATGAGTAGTGTTTTCTATTAATTGACTTGTATGATCATTAATTGAAGATATAAACAGCTCAAACCTCAGTTCAGTTGTTCAAACTTACCTTTATGTCATCTAAAGAAGAGTCAATAACTTCATAGTTATCAGGTAAACAGTAAAACTGAAAGAAATGGTTTTAACATTATTCTTTAATCATCATCATAATGATTTCATATATTATAAATTACCTTTAAATTTACATTCTCTGATTTGTCAAAAACTTGTTGTTTAGTATGAGTTTCATTCTATT